ATCCTAAATCTGCACACAAAAATTCTACCTCTGAATCTTCATGTTCTGTTTATTCCTATCACACCATCTGTTCTTCAGAAGCATCAAGAAAAGTCAGTGGCAATACTGAAAGTGGTAAAATGCCCAAAGCTTCAAATTTATCAGAGATTTCTTTATCAACCAACTTGGTACATCTTCCTCCCCAGAAAGAAAGTAAACAATGCATGAAAAACTTGCCTGAAATTTATGAACACTATGAGCCTATTTCAAGACAGAATTTACAAGGGTTATCAACAAATTTAAACTCACTACATGCTCGGATTCCAGGCTCTGAGTTTAGTGAAAGGCAAAACATATCAAAGCCAAAACGAAAATTGAACCATACAGTTCTTCTGCCAGCAAAATGTCTGAAGAAGGTAGACACTCGTTCGGCAATTGACCTTAGGGTGGAGAGCAGCTGTTTTCCGAGAGAACTCACGGTCCTTCTAGAGCCAGAAAAGCCATTGATTAGTCCTCCCTCAAACAAAGAGCCCAATGAGTTGACGGACATTAATATACAAAGCTCACCAATAAAACTCAGCAGAAAAGCCATGCATTCCATAGGAAGAAATAAAAACGGAAATCAGAAACAAAAAATGGAGTTATGTTTACATCAGGCTGATGAACTACCTGTTCCAGAAGAAACAAAAAATGTACAAAGCTCATCAACTCAAGCACTGTTGCAGTTATTTCAGACCAGCGAAGCAAATTCTGATTTCGGGGGTTTCTCAAGCATACAAGAGAACAAAGATTCAAATTTAATGAAAGACACATGGGAAGACCAGCATACAGATGCTTTGTGGTCTTTGTTTTCTACCTCTGCCTCTTCGTCACCATTTATTGGATTTTAATGCTGCTTTCTTTAAAACGATGAGTTTTGAATAAATGTGGAAAATGAAAGATGATATTTGTGGAAAATTTTTGGTTTCTATAATAAACTATATAGTGATGATTCTTGCATTAAACCCTTATGTTCATATTATTACAAGCTGTGTATATATATATAAAAGGCATGGGGTGGGTGACTCTGAACACATGCTTGCCTTTCTAAAGGAGTTTACACTTGGAAGTGTTGGCCAGTCTTTATTATTTAGAAATTGTAAATACTTTTCTTACTATGACCACAGTGAAATTCTATGCATTAGGGGTAGACAATCTTTTTTTAACTGAGGGTCACATTCCCTCTGGGTTAATCTTGTCAGGGGCCACATACTGGGGGTGGGTAGGGCAAGGTCAAATCGGAACCAAAGGGGCAGCAGATAAGTAAGGAGCTGACATCTCCACTAGCTGCTGTTTTCACCAGCTGGGCTGGACCCCTGTTCACCCTCACAGAAGCCCCCCTTTTCTGCGGTCCTGTGAGTAAGAGCAGTAAGCTGGTTTCCAGTGAGCCTACATGCTGTGGCAAGTAACAAGAAGATTCTAGGAGACCCTATTCTGTAAGGTCAATAAGTTGTTGCTGCATTACAGTTATTTACTTACAGGAAGGATGAGTTGCCATGGATGTTTCTCAAGGTCCACCAAGACCTTTTTTAAAAAACCCTAAAAGCTGAGCAGCTCATTTGTGTCCAAGCTGGTCATTCTAAGAGCCTTGCAAATTTAATATACAGTGGTACCTTGATTTATGAACGTAATCTGTTCCGGAAGTCTGTTCTTAAACCAAGGCATGCTTTCCCATAGCAGCAGGGGACTCAATTTACAAATGGAACACACTCAACAGGAAGCAAAACATGTTCTTATTCCAAGGCAAAGTTCACAAACCAAAGCACCTACTTCTGGGTTTGCAGCTTTCTTAATCCAAGTTGTTCATAAACTAAGCTGTTCTTAAACCAAGGTACCACTGTATTGGTGTCAGAGTTGTATTCCCCTTCCCATTCCTTCTGCATCATGTCTCAGATTGTAAGCCTGAAGGCAGGGGTTCTGTTATTTTTACTGACTTAAAAGCCACTATGGGAGCTTTTCCAGCTGAAGAGGGGGGTATAACTGCTTTAAATAAATCAAGGGGATGGTACCACCCTCTTCCATTTCTATTTCTTTGTGCTGCATCCTCTCTTCTCTTTCTGCCAACCCCCTCTTGGGCTGAGGGCTTTAGGTTGCCTACCTGGGCAACCTGCAGCCCTCAGAAATAAGCCCTACTGAGTGAAAGGGTACCATATTTCAAAATTATCTACACTTGTATAGTTCAAAGCATGCACTCTTTTTGTTAGCTTTTCAGATAAGACAGTTGTCCATACATTCTTTTGCTCAGTAGATGGCTATGTTAATTGACTTCATGAACCAATGGATAAAATCTGATGATATCTGATATTTTTACCCTCCCTTATATGGAAAATTTTGGGGCATGTATGCTGCCATACCTTAAATGAACTTACCGGTAGTTGTTCCAAAGCAGACTCAACTTTAATGGAATAGTTGTTTTTAGTTGCCATGCAGGGAAGAGGAGAAGATGGATGTAACAGGAATGCAAAGTAACCTTACAAAACTACAGCGGCTCATTCAGTTAAAAGGATCCTATCTTTAAAAGTGGCTGACACTGGAAGAAGCCAAACAGCAGAGGGTAGCAGTAGAATATTCCATTCCTAGCCTCTGAAAGTTTCTTTGAAATGGATGTTCAGAAAGCTCTCTGTCTAATATTGTTGAAGAATCTTGACATTTAAACAATTTTTGGGTCAAAAATTTCTTTACAATACTGTGTGTCTCAGAAAATAATAGGGAAAGCCCTAGATAATTGAATTTAAACCAACCAGTGACTTACTCCATTGGATAATAGAATAACAGAAGTGTAGGTCAGGAAACAAATACAAGCAGTAGTTAAGATGTTGCATTGACAGGGAGGAATGGCTTTGATTTTATCTTCCTCTAAACTATAGAGGTTTGTTTTATTTATATCCCACCTTTTAAGAGCTGGTGTTTGTTCTCTGCTTCACCCATGCCATTGTACAACAGCCTTGCAAAGTAGATAGGGCTGAAGTGAGCTTTATGGCTGAGTGGGTACTGGAAACTGTTTTACCAATCCTAGACCAGCACTAAACACAACACTATATTGGTGCTCAGAATGCCCTCCAAAGTATATCAGGCAAAGACAGATGGGACAGAATGCTACCAAATAGGATTCCAATGCATACTTAGCTGAGGAAAGAAGGAATTTGCTGTGGCACCTAAGTAAGTGTGGAAATTTTTAACAGCTATATGTACATGAGGCTTTCTTCATTTTTTTCCGTAACCTCCTTTGGACTGCAGAAGATTCCCAGGGGCAGAAAGGAATGTTTGCTTGCAAAAATGCAAACTGTGTTTACTGATAATCAGGTCAATAGCTAAAGAACTGCATGCTCAATGCTTGCTAAGTGATTCTCCCAAAATGCTTTATTTAAAAAGATTGGATTTCTTGTAACATTATTTCAAAGCCTGAGGTTCCTGAGAAGTGATTTCAAAAGGCTATTGTCAGCTCTTTGTAATAATGCTACTAAGTAGGAGTGTCAAATTAGTGCGTTGGTACAGAGCTTTCTAGTGAGAATATATTTATATGCATTATTGGTAGGATATTGTAGTGGAAGCTCTCTACAAAATGCACCGTAACCGCTTTGCATGTGCCCCTTTGCATATATGGAAAGAACAAGAATAAAGAGAGAAAGGATGGAACGTATTCCAGTATATCATACACATTTCTGGTTGCATTAGTAGACACCACGATGCTGTCAATATTTGACCTAAAGAAGGCTCCTGCAATTTCAACAGCTGCAGAGCAGGAGTGGGGACCCTTGGGCCTGCCAGATGTTGCTAAACTATAACTCCCATCATCCCCAATGGCATTTTTGATGCAATTTTTCCTAATAGACACCTTTTTTTTGCAAAGCCATAATGCATGTTTGTGTGTTATTGTCATTAATATGCATTTTTATGTACACTTTACCATCGTATAATGCATTTTTGCAGACATTATTTGGCTGGAGAACTGCATTGACAAATTCAGAGAGGTGCAAATTCATATTTGCATATTGCTTTGGAATATGCAAATTTTTCTAAGTTCACCTTTAAATGCAAAGTGAGTCAAGTTTCTCCTTCATTCATCACTACTGGTGGTATCCCAGCTGTGAGGACTACCTTCCCCTGTCACTTCTGAGAATGGCAGTGATCCTGGGCTTCTGTATAAATGGCAAAGTCTCCCCTCAAAGGCTAGCAAATGTATTATTATGCTATAAAGCAGAAGAGAGGAATCTCAGGCCACATCCCTCACAGGCACTGTTTCCCACCTTGCTTTTCATGTTTTTGCCACACAGACTGAACCTCCATTTGTGACTCTTGCTTGCATGAATGCAGGGCATAAGAAAGGGGTGTTCTGCGGACGAGTAGAAACAAGCCTACTGTTACAAAGGTACAGTAAAACTTAACATTATCCGCTCTGCCGATTTTTGCGTCTGGCTCTGTGCACCACTGGCATGTGGCTCCTGGAAGATTGCCAAGGGAGGAAAGCGGTTCTTGGCTGAAAGGTCGCACCCCACTCCTGCTCAGAAGCTCTCCTTCAGATGCAGCCCTATAAAACCGGAGTGGGGCACCTGTGGACCCCCAGAAATTGTGGGACTCGAGCTCTCACCATCCCCTGACCATTGGCCAAGCTGGCTAGGAGGGATGGGAGTAGTAGGCCTTTTTTCCTGAGGTTAAAAAACTCCAAAGCTTCCTTTTTTCACAGATCATTGTCCCTTTCCTTCACCTCAGGTTACGTTTTGTAACCTGTTGTGCAAAGAAAGGCAACCACCACGAGCGGCATATTTCCCCCCCCCCCCCGCGCGCGAGACAGGCGCAGTTCGAGCTTTTCACACAGGTTCCCTCTCTGAGGAACTTTTGGCTCAACGAACTACATTTCCCGGGAATCCCGGCTTCTCTTCCCTCGGCTTCGCTCCTCCGAAGCGAAAGGGGGCTTTCGCGCCGACGCGAAGGCAAAAAAGCCTCTCGCTCCCTCTCCGCCTCTCCGGGCTGCTGCATGTGTGGAGCGTGTGGGGAGCGAGGGGCGGAGCTGGGAAGCCTCTGAGCTACAGCAAGCCGCCCAATGCAGTAGAAGCTCGCCGAGCGAACGGAAGCCTGTCCAGCACAATGCAGCACTGAGGCGGCGGAGGCGGCATTGGCGAGGAGGAGGACGCGCGCCTCTCTCACTCGCAAGGAGAAGGAGACCCCGGGAGCGGGGGGCGCCTTTCCTCTCCCCCTCCATGCCAGCCGCCGTGTGACCCGCGCTTATTGCGGGCAGGAGGGGGGAGGAGGAGGAAGGACGCGCCTCCCTCCTTCCCACCCGACCGAGACCCAGCCATGCAGCCAGCGACTTCTCTGCTCTCCTTGACGCTTTGTGCCTTCGGGATGCTCTCCGGAGCCGGCTCCAGCCGCGCAGGTAAAAATAAAGAGAGAGTGGGTGGGCGTCCCTGCCTCACCTTTGCATTGCTCGGCAGGGATCGCCTTGCAGAGATCTCTTGGGGGGGGGCAGAGGGAGCCTCGGCCGGTGCAGCCGAGCAGCATCCCCAATGCTTTCCAGGGAGGCGAAGCAAGAGCGCCGCTGCATTCCGTGCGCTTGCGTGTCTCGGGGCGTGTGTGAGTGTTTGTGTTTAGGAAGGAGCAGGTAGCAGAGAAAGATCCAGCAAGGCGAGGTGCGAAAAGGGTCTCCCGCTAAGATGGAGCTGGGTGGGCTGGCTTCTGGCTTCCCCAGCCCTGCAATCTGGAGCGCGTGTGCCGCCTCGCTCCTCGCCGCTGCCCGCCTCCCTTTACGTCGCGCCCCGGAGGCTCATCTTTTGTAAATAAAAGCGATCCCGATCTGCTTGATCGTGACTGTGTCTCTTTTCTATCTCACCTCCCCACCCTCCTCTCTCTCTCTCTCTCTTTCCCCGAGGAGACGCCTTGTTGACAGAGATGGAGCGAAGGGACGGGGATCGCTTTATGGAGAGGCAAAATATCGTCCCTTTCCGGCTGATCTATAGCACGGACGGTGGCAACGAAACTCAACACGACGTGCTCAACACCCGCATCGGCGGCGGCGGCGACAGCTTCGGTGGGAAGCAGGTGAGCAGCAGCAGCAGGCGGCCGGGGGGGGGCAGCTCTGGCTTCCGGTGATAGTCAGAGAGAAAAGGAGAGGGCAGCCTACTCTTTGGGGTTTTCTGTTGCCCAGGAGACGTGCGCTTGGGGAAAAGGGAAGGAGGCGGAGGCGGTGGCTCCTTCCAAAACGCTAGTCCAGGTCTGATGCGCCATGCATAGAAATGACAGTCGGAGGGGAGGGAATTTTGCAATCTAGGCACAGCGGAGGTACCCAGAATGAAGTAATTGCCTTGGGAAAGGAATGGCTATTATGAAAGAACAAATCCTGCAATTTGTCTTTTCTTTTTGGAAGTCAGGTGACCCTCTTTTCTGTCCTTTGTGGAAAATGTACGCATCAGCGTAGAAATCTTGGTTTCAGCAAGATGGGTTCTGTTTTTGGCAGTATCATGGCTCTAAAAGCAATTGTTAGCAGACCACAGGGCGCTTGCTGAAAGCTTCCCCAAGTGGGTCTGATCAATAATAGCCAGTGTAGATATGCATTTCCTAACTTCCTGGCAGAATGTTGTTGTTGTTTTGAATGGTTTTTAAGTTTCATCTGCCATGTATATAGTTTTAGGATTACAGGAGCATTTAAGGTTGTATTTGGAATAGAAGATTATTTCCTCCCCTCCCCTTTGATAACTTAGCTTGAAAAAGTGTGTATGTCTCTGAAGGAAATTTGTCCTCTGAATAATATTTGTAACTAGATTATTTAACTAATTTATTTACGCTGCCACCCTGTACAGACTTACCTGGGAATACAGTATGACCTACTGCATTCATTGAAACTTCTGAGTAGATATGCACAAGATTGTGCTGGTAGCCAGGTAGTTGCAATCCTAAGCACACTTAGAAGGGAGTAAGCCCCATGGAAGTGTCTTTGTAAACATGCATTGGATTGCACTGAAAATTAACTGATTCAAGTAATTTTTTTATTTTAAAGTCTTCTAAATGAGTCTAGAGTTTTAAGAGACTAGATTTGTGTATATTCATTTGTTTCATTCTTCTTTTTAGGGTGTGTTAGTCATTGCTTTCAGATTTTTCCATTTATCCTAAGTAGTAAGAATATAATGTCAATTACTTTTAAAGTTAGGAAAAGTAGAAAAACCCTTGAGCAACAACCATAGTTAGCAACTTGCAGTCCTCTTATCAATAGACTCTGTTTTACATGAATAACTCACTCTAGTTTGTTTCAGTGTTCTGTGTGACCTGTATGATTGCAGGGCTTTTGCAAAGCAACATGCTTACTGAAACAAGAGTTGGGAAATAATTGGGTTTTGACAAAGGAAAAAAAAGTTTTTAAATGAGATTTTAACTGCTTGAGCTTCATTTAATTACGCTGATGGGAATTCTGTAAGCAAAAGCTTTAATCTCAAGTTGCAGTGTTGCCTGTGGACGATGGGCAATGCATAAATAGATAGAGCTTCCCTTTGAAGTTTTCACTCTAGCAGCTCCCACTACCAAAAAGCCTTTGTTTCATTTAAATGGGCTTGGCTTTTCAGGTATGAGAGCTGTGTTGAAAAAAATAAATACTTACTGTATTATCTTGAGTTCATTTTACAAAGTATAGAAATTAATGGTAGTTTGTATTGGTTGGTTTGGGTTCTCTCCATTGGTACTCTCCAGATGTTGCTGCACTACAATTCACATCATGCCTTACCCTTGGCCATGGTGGCTGGGGCTCATGAGAGTTGGAAGCCAACATCTGGAGTCTGCCATGTTGACTATCCTTGTTCAGGGATATATGGTTTCTCTGCTGATCGGTCAAATAGCTCTACATAATTTGCACATTAGTGATCATAGTTTACTGTTGACCTGTTGGTGCTCTTGGTGCTGTGCATAGTTTGTGGGTTTAACAAGGTTTCCATGCCAGGGATGTGAAAAACAAACCATTATCAAAAGCCGCTGAGTAAATCTCTCCTTTTCAAGGTTATCTGAAGACCCTAAAGCTTGAAACACCAATACAGTCACAAACACAGCTCAGTTGCCTTACAAAACACTGTTAAATTTGTTTTCCTTCTTCTTTGCTCAGGTTGCAGCTTTCCAGAAACTATAGCTTCTAATTGGCACCTGCCTGTTGAGATATATTGTGCACTAAGTTATGTGTTCCTAAAAGCATTTCATGGTGTTTTGCAAAGTCATGCATCTCTGTAATGTCCTTGCATCATGAATGATGTGACAGATGAAATATGTATTGTCTTAATCCAAGTTTCTGTTTTGCTGCATTTTTTAAGAACTCTTAAAGAAAGTTACACTTTTGCTCTACTTGCTCTTACAAAAGTAACTATACAAATAAGCCCATATTGTCAGTTGAAGACATTTTTAGTCCATCCTTTTTATTTTATTTTTAAAACATGAATGAGAGAGAATTGGTGACAGTAAAAATATGAAGGGTAAAACGTGCTTTATTTTGCTTATACTGTATTTTAATTTAGGTTGTAGATTCAGGTAGGTAGCAGTGTTGGTCTAACGCAGTCAAGATATATTTAAAAATAAAAATAATTGTCCAGTAGCACCTTAGAGACCAACTAAGTTTGTTCTGGGTATAAGCTTTCGTGTGCATGCGCACTTCTTCTTAATTTAGGTTGTGTTCATGATAGAATGAACTGCCCCATTTTGAAAATCATTTATTTACAGAGCAGGCATGGGTACTGTCATTTTCACAGTTAAAATATGGTTTGTAATGAAATAGACTCAAACTAAGACTGTCATCCCAAATCATGGGCCAGGTAGCTCACATGTCCTGTGAATTGCCTAAAAAAGGGATGCGGGTGGCTCTGTGGTCTAAACCACTGAGCCTCTTGGGCTTGCGGATCAGAAGGTCAGTGGTTCGAATCTGCTCAGCGGGGTGAGCTCCCGTTGCTCTGCCCCATCTTCTGCCAACCTAGCAGTTCGAAAGCATACCAGTGCAAGTAAATAAATAGGTACTGCTGCTGCGGAAACTTAAACAGAGTTTCCATGCGCTCTGGCACTTGTCACGGTGTTCGGTTATGCCAGAAGCAGTTTAGTCATGCTGGCTACATGACTCAAAAAGCTGTCTGTGGACAAACGCCGGCTCCTTTGGCCTGAAGCGAGATGAGTACCTCACCCCATAGTCGCCTTTGACTGGACTTAACCGTCCAGGGGTCCTTTGCCTTTTTACTTACCTGCATTGCCTAATGCTGTGTACTTGGAGAGACGGTTTGGTTTGTCTTTTCCTGCTCAGATGCAAGGTTGTTAAGCAAGTTTTATTACTTTAGGCCTAACAAGTGTCCAGCTGGTAGTTATTCAGCAAGATGTTGTTTTCATGTGAGATTGAAAATAAATCCCCATTCTGTTTTTAGGCAGAGTTGTAAATATTCATAATCTGAGAACTGATGATGCTTTAAAACTCAGGTATTTCCGTGGTATATATAGGAGCACATATACCGTATTTTTCCCTCTATAACACGCAGATTTTTTCTCCTAAAAAGGAAGGGGAAATGTCTGTGCGTGTTATAGAGCGAATGTGTGGTCCCTGGAGCCAAAAAATCAGGCAAAAATCAAATCGCGCTTCACGGAGAAGGGAAACCTGAAAAGAGGAAGCGGCTGCTTTCCTGCATTCTGCCTCAGGGTCTTACTGCCCACCCTCCTCTGTTTCGTTGCTGTGTTTGCTGAAACGGAACAAAGAGCAGGGAAAGCCCCTCCCCTCCAGGCAAGCAGAGGGGAAAGCAGAGTGTCGTTCCTTCTAATTCCTCTCTGTGCTCCGGTGCTGCTGGGGGAGAGGGAGAGAGAGGGGGGGAGGGAGAGAGAGAGAGAGAGAGAGAGAGAGAGAGAGATGGCTGGCTTGGGTGGGGGGAAACTTTTCTTTCCTCCCTCCCGTTAAATCCCTCTCCTGCATTCTTAGCCAGCTGCTTCTCTGCACACCCCTCTCATGTCCCTTCTTTGTTTTTCTTTCGCTCCCCACTTAAAATGTGGTTACAAAGCATAGATCCACATGGATCCTCAGGATCTTTGCATTGGGTCACCCCAAATTCACCATCAGATCACATAGCATGTCCATGGCTACAGCCTGCCCCCCCAAATCACGCACCCACTGTTGCCTGGGGCTGCAGTGGTGCAAAAACGTGGTTAAAAAGCATGGATCCACATGGATCCTCAGGATCTTTGCATTGGGTCACCCCAAATTCACCATCAGATCACATAGCATGTCCATGGCTACAGCCTGCACCAAAAAAATCACGCACCCACTGTTGCCTGGGGCTGCAATGGTGCAAAAACGTGGTTACAAAGCATGGATCCACAGGAATTCTCAGGATTTTTGCATTGGGTCACCCCAAATTCACCATCAGATCACATGTCTGTGGCCACAGCATGAAGCAAAAAAATGATACATCCACTGTTTCATTCAGAATGTTTTTTCCCCTTGTTTTCCTCCTCTAAAAACGATGTGCGTGTTGTGGTCAGGTGCGTGTTATAGAGCGAAAAATACGGTATGTCACATAAGAGCTCAGCGGATGTTCCCAGTGAAATGCAACATAGTGCTTCCTGGATCCTAGTACCTGTGATGACCTGCTTGTCCATAATTCCTTCCTGTGCAATTCATTGATAATACCCCAGAAGCCAGCGCTGATGGGAGTTGAAGTCCAACAGCATCTGGTGGATCACAGGTCTCCCCACCTGGTGTAGAAGGTATGTTACATCTTAGCCGTTGTGTTTGATAGTCAGGCAAATAAGAAGGGTGGTAGGGACATTATCTTTGCTGCAGTGATAATGGCAGGTGGAAGGGTGGGGTCTTCGCCTTCTAAGTGCTGTCACCATTTCAGTTTTTGCTTGGAAGCAACAAAGCGCTGGCCCGGGTGCTGAATTTGCCAGTCACAAGAGAACGGCAATATAGACCCCTGACCAAGATGAGCAATGCCTGTTGGTACGTGGGCCTTAGTTGTATACTGTGTTTACTGAGATTGGATAGGTTTATGTTTCCTTTTTTGTTTGTTTTAATAATAATGAAAAAGCTACCTCCTGTACTA